TCAGTCAATACGGAACATTTCAAGAACTTTGAAAGTTTCTTCAAGTGCAGTCGCAAAAACCAACAAGCGCTATGATGAAACTGGCTCTCATGAGGACCGCCACAGGAATGGAACACCCAGAGTTACCTCTGCTGCAGAGGATAACTTCATTAGAGTTACCAGCCTCAGAAATTGCAGCCCAAATAAATGCTTCACAGAGTTCAAGTAACAGACACATCTCAACATCAACTGTTCAGAGGAGACTGTGTGAATCAGGCCTTCATGGTCGAATTGCTGCAAAGAAACCACTACTAAAGGACACCAATAATAAGAAGAGACTTGCTTGTGCCAAGAAACACGAGCAATGGACATTAGACCGGTGGAAATTTGTCCTTTGGTCTGGAGTCCAAATTGGAGATTTTTGGTTCCAACCGCCGTGTCTTTGTGAGACGCGTGTGGGTGAAAGGATGATCTCCGCATGTGTATTTCCCATCGTAAAGCATGGAGGAGGAGGTGTTATGGTGCGGGGGTGCTTTGCTGGTGACACTGGGATTTATTTAGAATTCAAGGCACACTTAACCAGCATGGCTACCTCAGCATTCTGCAACGATACGCCATCCCATCTGGTTTGGGCTTAGTTGGACTATCATTTGTTTTTCAACAGGACAATGAACCAACACACATCCAGGTTGTGTAAGGGCTATTTGACCAAGAAGGAGAGTGCTTTAGTGTTGCATCAGATGACCTGGCCTCCACAATCCCCTGACCTCAATCAAATTGAGATGTTTTGAGATGAGTCGGACCGCAGAGTGAAGGAAAAGCAGCCAACAAGTGCTCAGCATATGTGTGAACTCCTTCAAGACTGTTGGAAAAGTATTCCAGGTGAAGCTGGTTGAGAGAATGCCAAGAGTGTGCAAAGCTGTCATCAAGGCAAAGGGTGGCTATCTGAAGAATCTCAAATACACTGCTCAAAAAAATTAAGGGAACACTAAAATAACACATCCTAGATCTGAATGAATGAAATAATCTTATTAAATACTTTTTTCTTTACATAATTGAATGTGCTGACAACAAAATCACACAAAAATTATCAATGGAAATAAAAATTTATCAACCCATGGAGGTCTGGATTTGGAGTCACCCTCAAAATTAAAGTGGAAAACCACACTACAGGCTGATCCAACTTTGATGTAATGTCCTTAAAATAAGTCAAAATGAGGCTCAGTAGTGTGTGTGGCCTCCACGTGCCTGTATGACCTCCCTACAACGCCTGGGCATGCTCCTGATGAGGTGGCGGATGGTCTCCTGAGGGATCTCCTCCCAGACCTGGACTAAAGCATCCGCCAACTCCTGGACAGTCTGTGGTGCAACGTGGCGTTGGTGGATGGAGCAAGACATGATGTCCCAGATGTGCTCAATTGGATTCAGGTCTGGGGAATGGGCGGTCCATAGCATCAATGCCTTCCTCTTGCAGGAACTGCTAACACACTCCAGCCACATGAGGTCTAGCATTGTCTTGCATTAGGAGGAACCCAGGGCCAACCGCACCAGCATATGGTCTCACAAGGGGTCTGAGGATCTCATCTTGGTACCTAATGGCAGTCAGGCTACCTCTGGCGAGCACATGGAGGGCTGTGCGGCCCCCCAAAGAAATGCCACCCCACACCATGACTGACCCACCGCCAAACCAGTCATGCTGGAGGATGTTGCAGGCAGCAGAACGTTCTCCACGGCGTCTCCAGACTCTGTCACGTCTGTCACATGTGCTCAGTGTGAACCTGCTTTCATCTGTGAAGAGCACAGAGCGCCAGTGGCGAATTTGACAATCTTGGTGTTCTCTGGCAAATGCCAAACGTCCTGCACGGTGTTGGGCTGTAAGCACAACCCCCACCTGTGGACGTCGGGGCCTCATACCACCCTCATGGAGTCTGTTTCTGACCGTTTGAGCAGACACATGCACATTTGTGGCCTGCTGGAGGTCATTTTGCAGGGCTCTGGTAGTGCTCCTCCTGCTCCTCCTTGCACAAAGGCGGAGGTAGCAGTCCTGCTGCTGGGTTGTTGCCCTCCTACGGCCTCCTCCACGTCTCCTGATGTACTGGCCTGTCTCCTGGTAGCGCCTCCATGCTCTGGACACTACGCTGACAGACACAGCAAACCTTCTTGCCACAGCTCGCATTGATGTGCCATCCTGGATGAGCTGCACTACCTGAGCCACTTGTGTGGGTTGTAGACTCCGTCTCATGCTACCACTAGAGTGAAAGCACCGCCAGCATTCAAAAGTGACCAAAACATCAGCCAGGAAGCATAGGAACTGAGAAGTGGTCTGTGGTCACCACCTGCAAAACCAGTCCTTTATTGGGGGTGTCTTGCTAATTGCCTATAATTTCCACCTGTTGTCTATTCCATTTGCACAACAGCATGTGAAATGTATTGTCAATCAGTGTTGCTTCCTAAGTGGACAGTTTGATTTCACAGAAGTGTGATTGACTTGGAGTTACATTGTGTTGTTTAAGTGTTCCCTTTATTTTTTTGAGCAGTGTATAAAATATACTACATGATTCCATATGTGTTATTTCATAGTTTAGATGTCTTCACTATTATTCTACAAATTAGAAAATACTCAAAATAAAGAAAAACCCTTGAATGAGTAGGTGTTCTAAAACTTTTGACCGGTAGTGTATACAAGATAATACAACAGAATATACATGTACAGTTGTCTGTACATACAGCAAGAACTCGCAAAGAAGCTGCACATCGTTTATTGCTACTGTATAGTGATACATGTTAGCTTTGTTACATTATATTACAAATATATTTTATGTACAGACAAAATATGTTGGATCAATTTACACCAACAATAAATTTATACAGTACATACATTGCTTGGTTGCTTTGTTGCAAGCAAATTAATACCTGGCCTTACAATTGAGGTTTCATGTCATAAAGTAATATTAAAATATGACTGCTGCAGGTAACCATTTTATTTGATAGAATGTCAGTCTACCATCTAGACTTACAGTGCATTCGGAAAGTATTCAAACCCCTTGACTTTTTCCATATTTTGTTACGTTACAGCCTTATTAAATTGATTAAATGAATTATTTTCCTCATCAATCTACACACAATAACCCATAATGACAAAGCAAAAACAGGTTTTTTGAAATTTTTGCAAATGTATTAAAAATAAAAAACAGAAATACCTTATTTACATAAGTATTCAAACCCCCTTTGCTATGAGACTCGAAATTGAGCTCAGGTGCATCCTGTTTCCATTGATCATCCTTGAGATGTTTCTACAACTTGATTGGAGTCCACCTGTGGTAAATTCAATTGATTGGACATGATTTGGGAAGGCACACATCTGTTTTTATAAGGTCCCACAGTTGACAGTGCATGTCAGAGCAAAAACCAAGCCATGAGGTCGAAGGAATTGTCCGTAGAGTTCCAAGACAGGATTGTGTCGAAGGCACAGATCTGGGGAAGGGTACCAAAACATTTCTGCAGCATTGAAGGTCCCCAAGAACACAGTGGCATCCATCATTCTTAAATGGAAGAAGTTTGGAACCACCAAGACTCTTCCTAGAGCTGGCCGCCTGGCCAAACTGAGCAATCGGGGGAGAAGGGCCTTGGTCAGGGAGATGACCATGAACCCGATGGTCACTCTGACAGAGTTCCTCTGTGAAGATGGGAGAACCTTCCAGAAGGACAACCATCTCTGCAGCACTCCACCAATCAGGCCTTTATGGTAGAGTGGCCAGACGGAAGCCACTTCTCAGTAAAAGGCGCATGACAGCCCACTAGGAGTTTGACGAAAGGCACCTAAAGACTCTCAGACCATGAGAAACAAGATTCTCTGGTCTGATGAAACCAAGATTGAACTCTTTGGCTTGAATACCAAGCGTCACGTCTGGAGGAAACCTGGCACTATCCCTACAGTGAAGCATGGTGGTGGCAGCATCATGTTGTGGGGATGTTTTTCAGCGGCAGGGACTGAGAGACTAGTCAGGATCGAGGGAAAGATGAACGGAGCATAGTACAGAGAGATACTTGATGAAAACCTGCTCCATAGCGCTCGGGACCTCAGACTAGGGCGAAGGTTCACCTTCCAACAGGACAACAACCCTAAGCACACAGCCAAGACAAAACAGGAGTAGCTTCGGGACAAGTCTCTGAATGTCCTTGAGTGGCCCAGCCAGAGCCATCCAACCTGACAAAGCTTGAGAGGATCTGCAGAGAAGAATGGGAGAAACTCCCCAAAAACAGGTGTTCCAAGCTTTTAGCGTCATACCCAAGAAGACTCGAGGCTGTAATCGCTGCCAAAGGTGCTTCAACAAAGTACTGAGTAAAGGGTCTGAATACTTATGTAAATGTCATATTTATATGTCATATTTCAGTTTTTTTTACTTTCTAAAAACCTGTTTTTGATTTGTCATTATGGGGTATTGTGTGTAGATTGATGAGAGAATGAGGCTATAACGTAACAAAATGTGGGAAAAGTCTGAATACTTTCCCGAATGCACTGTGATTAAGTCAGTTGTCATTGTTCCCTGTGCCTTGCACTGTGCCACACCAGTATTATGTTTAGTGGAATTATCTAAATCATTGTTTACTTTGAGTTTGTAAGCCAGATATCAGGTCATAACGGTTGACAGTACCAGTGCTGTAGAGCAGACTATTGTATCTGTGCCCCCTATTACATAAGTGGTAGACATTAGATTGTGTATGTTGATAAAGATTATGGCTAATGACTAATGCATTGCAGGCCTACATAGTAAGAGTACCTGTCTGTACCATGGTTTAATACATGTGATTATTGTTTCCTATAAATTACTCACCTGAAGAGCTTGATTTAAACAAAATAAGGCTAGTCACTGGATATATTGTCCTGTGTCATCTTAATTCTCATAAAATTATGTTCTGCACTATAACACATACGGACTACAATATAGGATTGCTATCCCAAGCTACTTAGTGTAAGCACTGTGAACTGACATCCTTGTTTTCTCCCATATGAATCACACCATCAGTTCTAAGGCAGCAGTACACCTTGCTCAAAGTATTACAGACACATTTCAACTACATTTAAAGGGAGAGAAGCAAGGATACTGCCACACCATTACATGTGTTTGTCTGTGGAGCAACAGGATGCACCCTGCTTCTCCTTTATTGCTCCTCCAAGAGTCCTGCCTGAGGCTTAGATATTGCACTTTCCATGTCATCGTCTTCTTGATCTGGCTGTGTGAGATGCCATTATTTCAGAGTTCAAGAGTTGTTGTTTGAATTGAAGTTTTTGTGGAGAGGAAGTCGTTTTGTTTATGGATATTTAATGAAAGGTGTTTGGGTTCGGTCGTATCATCATAGATACTTTCTTCAGGGAGTAGGCACCTCCTCTGAATTCAGCCCAGTACACTCCATCTTGGTAGCGACTGCGGTAGTGTCCTCCTCTGTACCATACTCCATTGAGGTTAGAATGGGCACATGCATTGTACCACCAGCCTCCCTTCTGGTAGTGGGCACAGTTACCTGGGTTGAAGCAAATATTAGTTAGACAACATTGTAGAATCTCAACGAAAATGTAATGTGGGCTTACAGTATGTACTAGGCTAATTGTCAGTTAATTGAGTCAGAACACTGGACATTTTATCTCACGTTTCTGTTTTAATGTGAGTGTGTGCTACTGTATGATCTTGACATTACCTGTATACACATCGTGGTCTCTGTCCAGCGTAGTGAACTGTTTGCCATTGTGCCAGGTGAGGGAGTCTCCGGCGTTGCCATGGTAGCGGCCCACCCTGAGCTTGTAGAAGTCTGCCTCAGGCTCCAGCCTGAAGCTGGCATACTCTGCAAACACCTTCCTGCCAGACCAGTCCTCCAGAATCACCAGCAGCTTGTAGTTCCCCTGGTTGGTCAGCCAGTAGATGTTCTCCAGGCCCAGCCAATACTCTCCATCGATGTTCCCAAAGCCTTGCTATGAGGGGCAAAGGGAGAATACATGATCGGCTTTACACAAGTCCCTTCAGCTGTAAGCAGTTGGTCTTGAGGTCTGGGGGATAATTCAGAGCCTCTTCTCTACTCAGTGCCTGGGAAGTACTGAGAGAAACAGTCCCTCTAGATGCTCTGACAGTAAAGCTCAATATGATTCTGTCTTATTGTTGTTTACTGTCAGGGAAGGTACCAGCAAATAGCCCATGAGCCTACTAGTGGTAACTTGCAGTTATCAAAAACGTATTAATGGCCTGTAGAGTAGAGTGGAGGATCTGTGAGCTTGTTACAAGATGTGTGCTGGTCTGGACTGTTATGCCTCAGTTCCATGCCAGGACAGGTCATAGGATAGTATATGTTTTACATTACATAGCACATGCTGTGAATCATGGGAAGATCTGGCTATTGTACACATTTAATTCCAATGTGTTTTATTGTAAACGTCTTGGAAAGTTCTCTGGCAAGGATTTAAACAAGTCCCTTGCAAATTGTCTGTCTGCCCTATGATGTTTGCACTCTAATTGCTTTGCCCTGTTGTAGTGCTTTAGATCCTTACTGTCACGACTTCCGCCGAGGCTGCCTCCCCTCCTTGTTCGGGCAGGCTTCGGCGTTCGTCGTCACCGGCTTACTAGCCACTGCCGCTCCATATCTCATCATTCCATTTGTCTTGTTGTGTCAATTACACACACCTGGTTCTTATCCCCTCATTAGTCCGTGTATAAGTGTTCCCTCTGCCCCCCCTGGTCCTTTGTGGGTGATTGTTTATTGTGAGAGTAGTGTAGCTCGGTGGAGGTACTCGCACTTTGTATTGCCGAGGTAGATATTTCCCCTGTGCCTGAATATTGTTGGAGTATCCTGTACCGTGTATTGCCAGGGTAGATCGTTTCCCCTGTGCCTGACTCCTTCTATCACACTCATCACACTTACACTAGCCAGACCCTTTTTACCTCATTCCACACTGGCAATAGTCATCCCTTAGCATTTCATGCTGTCCTCATGACTGCCTGTGTAATGTTGTGTAAATACCTGAATTCAGACATTTATTTTTCCTCAAACCATTTTTATGATGTAAATAGAAATCATTTTCATGGACCATTAATACTTTTTCAGTGGGCTTCTACAATTCTACAATGTTTTTTTCCCAGGATGGCAGCCTCTTATCCACACGTTTCTCATTAAGCCTGTATGCGTCCTGTGTAGACTAATTTCACAAAGACCCAACTCATGTTGGCGGATGGTATGAGTCATAGGCCAGTGGTGTGACTGACAGGTGCAGAACCCTGTAGGTACCTCATCAGAGCAGGCAGTGCAAGGGGTCGTTCTCCTCAAACCTCAACAGTGTTCAGATCTTTTTAACGTCAGACACACCAGACATAAGTCACCTGTTTCACTTCGAACTACAGCCAATGTTTAGCATACAGACACAGTTCTACATATAACCTGCCTCCCCCTTTTACTAAATGAGTTTACCTTAGTGTGGGGCTGTTTACCTACCTTGTAAGTCTCCCAGTTCCTGAAAAAGTTCACTGAGCCGTCCAGCCTCCTCTGGATGACGGTCCAGCCACCAGGGTCGTGTCTCTGGTCACACCACACCTGCATCAGTTTGTTGGCGTTCTCTGGCTTCACCAGGTACATGCCACTGGCCGTGTGGCCATCCTCCAGGGCCTGTAGGCAGTCCTTCCATGGCCCTGCATGGGACAGGAAAGGAGACAGACACAGTGGTTAGACAGAAAGCCTGGTGGAGTCAGTGGAGGTTGTCAAAGGATATTTTTTCTATAATATGAGTCACTTTCATATTCATAATTAATACAACTTTCTTATTGTGTGACTATCACAGTACTGGAGACAGAGGCTATGCAGCCTAATTGAAAAGACCACAGCATCATCTACTGTTACTGCTGCTACTCCCATTTTTCAGTAGGAAAAGCTTTCAGTTTAAGGCCAGGATTGACTTTGGCTGCTGCTCTCACAAGGGAAATGGCTGCAGGCTCTGCAGCCAAGAGCAACATTGGCATATGGCTAAAGGGAGACCTGATTGCTGAATGATGCAACAGTAGCAGATACTGTAGATCAGCAGGTACTCTAAAGATCCCTTGTTGATGAATGATATAATGGGCATTAGGCTGTAGAAAACGCTCTTTTGTTGAAGTAGAGTTGGAAAGTCTCTTAATATTTAATCACTGTCTTCCTAAACCCCTATTAAACCCATGCAAGTTTCTTATGTTGTTATTGTCAATGGGTGTTTTTGACCTTCCCCAGTGGAGGTAAAATCACATCCGGTACTGACCCAGAGAGCAGTCCATATGACATTCCATATGATTGATAGTGTTTTCATATTAGCGTGTTCTCTCAGCAGTGGGCTTTAGCTTGGCCATTCTCTGGTAATCTAATCTCAGATACAGTGGGGAAAAAACGTATTTTGTCAGCCACCAATTGTGCAAGTTCTCCCACTTAAAAAGATGAGAGAGGCCTGTCATTTTCATCATAGGTACACGTCAACTATGACAGACAAAATGAGATTTTTTTTTCTCCAGAAAATCACATTGTAGGATTTTTTATGAATTGATTTGCAAATTATGGTGGAAAATAAGTATTTGGTCAATAACAAAAGTTTCTCAATACTTTGTTTATATACCCTTTGTTGGCAATGACACAGGTCAAACTTTTTCTGTAAGTCTTCACAAGGTTTTCACATATTTTGGCCCATTCCTCCATGCAGATCTCCTCTAGAGCAGTGATGTTTTGGGGCTGTCGCTGGGCAACACAGACTTTCAACTCCCTCCAAAGATTTTCTATGGGGTTGAGATCTGGAGACTGGCTAGGCCACTCCAGGACCTTGAAATGCTTCTTACGAAGCCACTCCTTCGTTGCCCGGGCGGTGTGTTTGGGATCATTGTCATGCTGAAAGACCCAGCCACGTTTCATCTTCAATGCCCTTGCTGATGGAAGGAGGTTTTCACTCAAAATCTCACGATACATGGCCCCATTCATTCTTTCCTTTACACGGATCAGTCGTCCTGGTCCCTTTGCAGAAAAACAGCCCCAAAGCATGATGTTTCCATCCCCATGCTTCACAGTAGGTATGGTGTTCTTTGGATGCAACTCAGCATTCTTTGTCCTCCAAACACGACGAGTTGAGTTTTTACCAAAAAGTTATATTTTGGTTTCATCTGACCATATGACATTCTCCCAATCCTCTTCTGGATCATCCAAATGCACTCTAGCAAACTTTAGACGGGCCTGGACATGTACTGGCTTAAGCAGGGGGACACGTCTGGCACTGCAGGATTTGAGTCCCTGGCGGCGTAGTGTGTTACTGATGGTAGGCTTTGTTACTTTGGTCCCAGCTCTCTGCAGGTCATTCACTAGGTCCCCCCGTGTGGTTCTGGGATTTTTGCTCACCGTTCTTGTGATAATTTTGACCCCACGGGGTGAGATCTTGCGTGGAGCACCAGATCGAGGGAGATTATCAGTGGTCTTGTATGTCTTCCATTTCCTAATAATTGCTCCCACAGTTGATTTCTTCAAACCAAGCTGCTTACCTATTGCAGATTCAGTCTTCCCAGCCTGGTGCAGGTCTACAATGTTGTTTCTGGTGTCCTTTGACAGCTCTTTGGTCTTGGCCATAGTGGAGTTTGGAGTGTGACTGTTTGAGGTTGTGGACAGGTGTCTTTTATACTGATAACAAGTTCAAACAGGTGCCATTAATACAGGTAACGAGTGGAGGACAGAGGAGCCTCTTAAAGAAGAAGTTACAGGTCTGTGAGAGCCAGAAATCTTGCTTGTTTGTAGGTGACCAAATACTTATTTTTCACCATAATTTGCAAATAAATTCATTAAAAATCCTACAATGTGATTTTCTGGATTGTTTTTCTCAATGTCTGTCATAGTTGACGTGTACCTATGATGAAAATTACAGGCCTCTCATCTTTTTAAGTGGGAGAACTTGCACAATTGGTGGCTGACTAAATACTTTTTTGTCCCCCTGCTTAAGCCAGTACATGTCCAGGCCCGTCTGAAGTTTGCTAGAGTGCATTTGGATGATCCAGAAGAGGATTGGGAGAATGTCATATGGTCAGATGAAACCAAAATATAACTTTTTGGTAAAAACTCAACTCGTCGTGTTTGGAGGACAAAGAATGCTGAGTTGCATCCAAAGAACACCATACCTACTGTGAAGCATGGGGGTGGAAACATCATGCTTTGGGGCTGTTTTTCTGCAAAGGGACCAGGACGACTGATCCGTGTAAAGGAAAGAATGAATGGGGCCATGTATCGTGAGATTTTGAGTGAAAACCTCCTTCCATCAGCAAGGGCATTGAAGCTGAAACGTGGCTGGGTCTTTCAGCATGACAATGATCCCAAACACACCGCCCGGGCAACGAAGGAGTGGCTTCGTAAGAAGCATTTCAAGGTCCTGGAGTGGCCTAGCCAGTCTCCAGATGTCAACCCCATAGAAAATCTTTGGAGGGAGTTGAAAGTCTGTGTTGCCCAGCGACAGCCCCAAAACATCACTGCTCTAGAGGAGATCTGCATGGAGGAATGGGCCAAAATACCAGCAACAGTGTGTGAAAACCTTGTGAAGACTTACAGAAAACATTTGACCTGTGTCATTGCCAACAAAGGGTATATAACAAAGTATTGAGAAACTTTTGTTATTGTCCAAATACTTATTTTCCACCATAATTCCTCTCATCTTTTTAAGTGGGAGAACTTGCACAATTGGTGGCTGACTAAATACTTTTTTCCCCCACTGTATATGTCTGAACATGACAGATCCTCAGGTGGGCGGGGCATGTGCGTTGCTAGTGTAAGTAAGTGGGGGGAAAAATGTGTTGGGTGTTACAGCATCAGACTGTGTGGGTTTGCAGCTCTACAATGACACCTTCTGCAAAACATTACCTCAACTCAGATTTTCCTAAACCACTTCAAGTGTACACTATTAATCTGGTTGTTTATCCAAGTTCATTATACTGAAGAGGAAGGATTTCCAGAATTGGACTAATTTAAGATAATCCTGAATAAATCCTTATTTTACCTCAGTAACTCTGCCAGGGAGACCGCTGGAACTTGTCCCAAATTCCAAAACGTTCACCCTTTCACTTCACATTTCATTTATCTGACATAATTCCCAATTTGGCAGTTGGTCGTTTTACAGAAGTACTGTGGTGAGGTATTTAATATGGCCATGTTTTGAAGACAAATTTGAAAACTGACCATTAAAGTATTGTTGTTTTCTTTCTGCGGGTTAAAGTAGGTTTCCTTATCTCTGAAACATCCTCCACCACCATAGATGTTCTAATGCATTTAGCAGCATGTGTAATATGATTTACTGCATAGAAGTAACAGACCTGTATGCTAAAATGGATGCCCTGACAGAAACCAAAGTCTGAGCAAGATATGTTTTCTATTGTTCTGCAGTATATGATTTAACGAGGAATGAAGTTGATGTTAAATGCTGCATGTGTTTGGTTTATTAGTCTCTCTTGGTGTTCTGTTTGAAACTGGTTAATATCTGTAAAAACATGAATTGGCTTATTGCCTGTTAGCCATTACTCTCCCCTCAAAAGATCTCTAGTCATCATACTTGGAAACAGGCTTCTATTGGGCTGCTGGCTCTACTTCTCTAATTGGATGTGAAAGTATTTTCCTATTCAAGAGTTTACACAAGTGGTCACCAACCTTTTCTGAGTCAAGATCACTTTCGCAGTCAAAAAGCAAGCCCAGATCTACTGCCCAGATTATTTTTAAACTTGTTTTTTTTTTTACATTGTCCTAATAAAAACTGTTATGTAGGAATGAGGTTTGTGCAGTAGGCCTAATACATTATCACATCATATTGGCTATATATATATATATATTATTTCACATTTATTTAACCAGGTAAGCCAGTTGAGAACAAGTTCTCATTTACAACTGCGACCTGGCCAAGATAAAGCAAAGCAGTGCGATTAAAAACAACAACACAGAGTTACATATGGGGTAAAACAAAACAAAGTCAAAAATACAACAGAAAATATATATACAGTGTGTGCAAATGTAGCAAGTTATGGAGGTAAGGCAATAAATAGGCCATAGTGCAAAATAATTACAATTAGTATTAACACTGGAATGATAGATGTGCAAGAGATGATGTGCAAATAGAAATACTGGGGTGCAAATGAGCAAAATAAATAACAATATGGGGATGAGGTAGTTGGGTGGGCTAATTTCAGATGGGCTGTGTACAGGTGCAGTGATCAGTAAGATGCTCTGACAACTGATGCTTAGTTAGTGAGGGAGATAAGAGTCTCCAGCTTCAGAGATTTTTGCAGTTCGTTCCAGTCATTGGCATCAGAGAACTGGAAGGAATGGTGGCCAAAGGAGGTGTTGGCTTTGGGGATGACCAGTGAGATATACCTGCTGGAGCGCATACTACGGGTGGGTGTTGCTATGGTGACCAATGAGCTAAGATAAGGAGGGGATTTGCCTAGCAGTGATTTATAGATGGCCTGGAGCCAGTGGGTTTGGCGACGAACATGTAGTGAGGACCAGCCAACAAGAGCGTACAGGTCACAGTGGTGGGTAGTATATGGGGCTTTGGTGACAAAACGGATGGCACTGTGATAGACTACATCCAATTTGCTGAGTAGAGTGTTGGAGGCTATTTTGTAAATGACATCGCCGAAGTCAAGGATCGGTAGGATAGTCAGTTTTACGAGGGCATGTTTGGCAGCATGAGTGAAGGAGGCTTTGTTGCGAAATAGGAAGCCGATTCTAGATTTAACTTTGGATTGGAGATGCTTAATGTGAGTCTGGAAGGAGAGTTTACAGTCTAACCAGACACCTAGGCATTTGTAGTTGTCCACATACTCTAGGTCAGACCCGTCGAGTAGTGATTCTAGTCGGGTGGGCGGGTGCCAGCAGTGTTCGATTGAAGAGCATGCATTTAGTTTTACTTGTGTTTAAGAGCAGTTGGAGGCTACGGAAAGAGTGTTGTATGGCATTGAAGCTCGTTTGGAGGTTTGTTAAGACAGTGTCCAATGAAGGGCCAGATGTATACAAAATGGTGTCGTCTGCGTAGAGGTGGATCTGAGAATCACCGGCAGCAAGAGCGACATCATTGATATACACCGAGAAAAGAGTCGGCCCAAGAATTGAACCCTGTGGCACCCCCATAGACTGCCATAGGTCCAGACAACAGGCCCTCTGATTTTACACATTGAACTCTATGCCTGGCCTGCCAATATTGTTCTTCTCAGACCATATTATATTTAAAAACTCAAGCTTTCATAACAAAATATATCATTTGCTGTGTGAGGCATAGCTGAGCATAAATTGAAATAATTTGCTTTTTTATTTTACTGGACTGATGGTATCTGCATCTGATGGTCATGATGCTTTCAAAACAACTGGGAACTCGGAAAAAAACAAGGTCAAAGTTGGAGCTCTAGAAAGATACCCATGTGTTTGATGTATTTGATATCATTCCACTGAATCTGCTCCAGCCATTACCACGAGCCCGTCCTCCCCAATTAAGAAATCACCACTGGTTTACACTGATGTGATTAGCCAACTGACCCTGTTTAGTACACAATGGATATTTGTACAGAGACAGGAGGTAGAGAGAGAGACTGAAGCAGCTAGTCTGCATCCAACCAGGGAATGGAAGAGAGCCCTGTCTTAAACAACTAGGAAAAGGCAGTGTGTGTGTGAGAGAGAGAGAGGAAGACCAGACAGGGGGATGTCAGGCTTTCATAAAGAGCACACTGACAGCCTGGCTGTATCAGAATAAAAAGGAGGGTAAACAAGGAGCTAATTCCAAGCAGGACTGTCAACGACAAGCAGGACTGTCACAGACAGAGACAGAGGAACAAAAGTTCACATTGTAAATTAACAGGCTAAAACAGGTTAGGTTGTGCTAGGATTGCATGTGAGAAGTAGTCCATCAGCCAGCCTCCTCCTCTCCAGTGGGCTCTGTGGAAGATCTGTGTTGTTTAGACATAAGCCAGAGGGCTGGAATAAATGACACCACACAGATACTTATTCATTATCTTTCCTCAGTCTTTTCATACTCTTTATTCCTTACTCTTTTTCTTTCTTTCTTTCTTTCTTTCTTTCTTTCTTTCTTTCTTTCTTTCTTTCTTTCTTTCTTTCTTTCTTTCTTTCTTTCTTTCTTTCTTTCTTTCTTTCTTTCTTTCTTTCTTTCTTTCTTTCTTTCTTTCTTTCTTTCTTTCTCAGCACTCCCTTTTTGTGTGAGGAGTTTGTATAACCTTTTGGGGGGGTGAGTTGCAGTCGGCCCTGACAGGAAATTGCTTGCCTCCCTTCAAACACAAGAGTACAGAGCACAGTGTCTACACCTCAGTCAGGAAAGCACAGTGTGGAACACAAACATTTCTATGGAAAGATCTGTACAGCATAAGCCAGTGTTTCCTACTACATTCAAATGACATGGTATCTAGTGGAAGTATATGTTAACAAGAAAATACTTATCAAATAATTTTCTGTTGATTTGGAGAATTCCTTATGGAAGCCTCACCCGAGTCTCATACATCCTCTGGACAATCCGTGGCAGAGTGCTGCTAGTCTGTGGCGGGGTTTCCCTCATAACTGGAATGCTATATTTACCATGCTACCATTGTCAGGGTTAGATTGACCATGAAATGCAGTGTAAGCTGTCTTCGCCCCCTCGGCAGTGGGCTTGTAGCCCATGGTGAGTTGAGACCACACAAACCCTGTCTCTAAACTCCCCTTCATCTGGTGTCTGTCTCCGCTGAGACACGTCTGCCTTTCGCTCAGCCCATTTGAAAAAATACTATAGTACACTATGGTATAAATCCCATAGTATTCACTGTAGTGTTTTTGCGGACTTTACTGTAGTATTAACCTTTTGTGTTTTTGCGGCCATTACTGTAGTATACTGTAGTATTTAGAATTTACTAACACTGTTGTATAAAAACTATAGTGTTTTTGCGGACTGTAGTAAACTTTAGTATTTACTGTAGTGTTTACTGTAGTGTTTTTGTTTTATTATCTTTGACATAGAAGTGGGGTCTTTCTCCTTGAGCAAACCTACTGGACAAATACTAAAAGAGCACATTTTTCATAACCTGTAGGTAGATAGGACTGGGGTCTGAACGGAAAGTTCAGAGCGTCTGCTCTTTTCTGTAACCTGTAGGGAACACAATATATGGTCTATACTCGGCATGTAGGTTTTTCACTTATCGGTAGCACAAATTGGGATATGGAGGAGGGGAATAGGCAGGGTATATGCAAATTAACTGCTATACTATTACTATAGTTTAAAAAACGATTGTGTTTTTGCGGACTGTAGTGTTTTTACAGACATTACTGTACACATTTTACAAATTACCTCGACTAACCTGTTCCCCCGCACATTGACTCTGTACCCGGTACCCCCTGTATATAGCCTCGTTATTGTTATGTAATTTTCTTGTGTTACTTTTTGATTTGATGTTTATTTAGTAAATATGTTCTTAACTTTATTTCTTGAACTGCATTGTTGGTTAAGGGCTTGTAAGTAAGCATTTCACGGTAAGGTCTACACCTGTTGTATTCGGCGCATGTGACAAATACGATTTGATTTGTAGTATTTACTACAGTGTTTCATTTGCAGATAATACTATAGTATTTACTATAGGATTCTACAGTATACTACAAAAATCTATAGTAAGTACTACACATGATCGAGGGATTCTACAGTGTGTAGTATAGTATTCTACAGCAGTGGTTCCCAAACTTTTTCACTCGGGCCCCCCTTCCATCATTGGGGAACATCCCCGCAGTAAGTTGAAAGCCTGACTGACTTCCTTTAAAAAAAAGACAATTGGGGGGGAGGGGGAACTCCGCGCCCCCTTGCCGACCACACCTACAGTTTGGGAACCACTGTTCTACAGTATACTACAGTTTATTACAGAATTCTATAGTAAGTACTGTAGTATGCTACAGTTAACTAGTATTTTTTTCATGTGGGAATATTCATATCCAACAGCAATAGTCACTTGCACAGACATATGAGCTAACACCTCACTGTTAACAGTTAAATATGAGCAGGATAATAAATAAAGCAATGTTTGTGAAAGGAATAAAACATGAACAAGAGGAGAAATTGAAAGAAAATGATATACTGTAGGTATTAGTCATGTTTTGTTAAAGACGATTGTTGTACTTCTCTTATCAGCTAAAGACCAAGTTAACTTGCCAGACACACACACAGTTAGAGAGCATGACAGACAGTCTTATCCAGTTGTGATCCCTGTTGTATTTAGTCAACTATACAGTTATCTAAATCTATCAATTAATCATCCAGTTACTTAAGCTTCATTAAGTGTACTAAATTAAGGAGGATAGGTTCAGACACCTCCACTTTCACTGGCCTCGATACCAGAGGGCTCTAGTCCAACCATCCATGAGCACACACAAATATGTGTTTTAAGATGCTTTGTGTGGATTGTAATCAGCTGACTGTAGTATCAAGCCCATTAGATGATATGCATCTCAAAGGGTTTTAGACAACAACAGCTCTGTTCTTCCTAAGAGGCCTTTTCTCAGGGAATGTGTGGAACTTATTATTCCCATAGACAATAGTGAGACGAATGGATAAAGAATGGAGAGCTGCTGTTGTCTGATGATTAAGAAAGACCAAACTGCTCTCACACACAACCCTCTGTTTCAGACTGGCTTAGACATCAGTCTGATGAGGGTTCATAGAACATGCCAGCTTCTCTTTTTCCGCTTGACCCCTCATATAAATGTAACTTCAGACCAGATCTGTATCAAGGAATATTCATTTCAATAGGTAACAAAAAACATGCAGGCTGCTCAATGAAACAGAGAGACTCACCAGAGGGTTTGTTAGTGATAGAGGGGCTGCCTGTGCCGCTGGGCATGGTTGGATTGACAGGCAGTACAGACTTCTGGTCACTCTGAATCTCGTTGGTGATCTGGTTGGTGAGGCGTGGGTAGGTGGGAGGTTGGTAGGGCTTGTTGATGGGTGGTGAAGGTGCAGGTGGGGGTGGGGTTTGAGGCCTTGGCTGGGGGACGGGGACGGGGACGGGGCGAGGGGGGCTGACTGGCCGACCCTGGCACTGCTCCTCCAGCAAGGCAATGAGGACCGACTGGTTGTTGGCCAGAGAGGCCAGGTGCTGGTACTTGTGCTCCAGGTCCTTATAGCGGTTAGTGAGCTGCTGCATCTCTGAGGTCTGGTTGAGGATACGGTTCTCCATCTGGGACAGCTCCAGGGCATTGTCCCTCTTCCTGATGATCTCGTGTAGCAGCTGCATGTAGAGCTGGGTCACCCTGGAGTTCATGTTCCTGCTCTCCTTCCTCAGAAGCTTGACCTCGTTGACGATGCCTCCGTCCACCTCAACCAGCTGCTGCAGCGTCTCGATCTGCCTCTTCTGCTTCTGCAGCTCCACGTTCAGCAGCTCCAGCTCCTGCTTGTTGACGCGGTTCTCCAGCGCTGCGTCCGGCTCCTTGCGGTTCACACAGATTGCCCCTGTCACCTTCTGTTGGGGAACGATGAAGGTGTAGGAACACTTGTCAGGCTGCTGGGGGTCGACGGGGGCTCGCCTGCTCCTCTGCCCAGCATACAGGAACTCTCTCTCCAGGCCATCCTCACTGCTCTCAAACTTCTGGGATGGGGCCCTTTCCTTGCTCCTGGCCTGGGGGTTGCTCTCCTGAGGGTTCCCCTGACCCTGGGGCTGCTGGGCTCCAGAGACCAGACCATACATTAGGTACAGCAGCACCACGGGGAGCTCCATCAGTCTGGGAAGGGCTCTCAATCACACACACCTTAGGAGGCATAGGGATTTAGAACAACAGGAAAGGATGGGGAGAGATAAAGGGAGGTCATTGGTTTGGCACAAATACTGAATTGTTTTTAAAATACTGTAACATACCACCCTGTGGTCAGCTATCTCATTCAAATGATCTCTAATTGCACAGTATAGGCCTACCGTTTTGATAAATGGATGAATGTGTTATAAAACCTAAACAAACTCCTTTGTATAATTTAAAGGAAAGGTTCACCCATTTTATATGTTATATTGTTTTTGTGCATCTCTGAGTGATGTTCTATTGATTCCCTGGGTCATTTCATGTTTTCATGTTTTTGAGCAAGCGCCCAATAGACTCCCATTCATTCCTTGAAGGAGAGTGCTCTTTGTCCCAAAATGCACCGCGCTGCCCATTGACATAGCATGGGCAACGTTTCCCATCTCCTCAAAAGTATATCTGCCTTTATGAATGTTAGATGTTTGCTAGCTAGCTAGCTAGCCAGCCAGCCTATAGCATTGCATTGTGCATTTTGTGGTCGACTTGAGCTGCAACAGATTTCCACAACGATTTTCCATGTTGCTACCAACTTTATTATAACGCCAAAATGAAACATATGTTCACAAAAAATATTGTTCTCACATTTTAGTGTTATTTAACACTGTAAATTAAAGGAATGAGTGGTTTTGGGTAGAATTTTTCTTTAAACTCATATTCACTTCTTGGGGTTAGCATGTCTCCACTGAAAGGTTATTATTTTGTCAGGTATTGTCACCTTGGTAATGGTGTGTTTTCCATGGGTCTTGTCTGTACAGGCTGAAAGAAACAAGACGCTGATTCCAACACAAGATCTGGCACCACCTATTCTATGCTTGTGATATCACTGAATGGGTTTCACCAAACCTACTATTATCAAACACTGGAAATCTGATTGGATTTCATCAAGGGGCCAAGCTGGCGTGCCATCATGTTTGTAAACAGGCACCAGGCTGGTGATGTAGGCTATGTTTGTGAGAGCATGGCTGGCTCTGGCTGTCTTAGAGGGGGCATTTTGAAACCTTTTTCGTGGCCTGCCTGTTCAGTCCACTAAGGCCTCTGCTAGAGACCCACAGGGCTGGGGTCTACTCTTACACTGACAGGACATCAATGGGAGCCTTCACAGCCTGTCCTTTAGGCAGCCTGTCCTTTAGGATCTCTCAAGTTTGTTTTAATGATGTCAGGGGGTTGTGTTTTGCTAGCTGTCCTGACTCTGGCTCTCTTGGGTGACTGCCACTGTTAGGAGGAACATTTACACATGTGTATCCTCAATCTGCTCCCCAGTGCTGTGCAGGCCTGGGCATCACTGCTTATGGAAAGTTTGACACGCATAGCAGCTGATGCTATTCCTGCGCCTGTTTTAAGATATTGATCAGATTGCATCAGACCTGGACCGTTTACCAAGAGAAAGGTAATGCAGTTCATTCACAACTTAAAGCACACATCATTGTGTATATATCATTTCCTATATGTATTTAGAATATTGGAATTTCAATCTAAATTTAACCTGGAAAGAATGTAGAACTCTTGAACCTTCTCAATGTGCTTTGGACCATTACATTGCTCTGTTTAACAGTGTAGAGAGAATGTTGTGTAATATAAATCTCCCTGACACAGTGTGTTTCTGCAGAGAGGCTACATTTAAGAAATGTGATTAATGCACAACAACTAACTTTTAAGATACAACCCTTAGCTTTTCACAGGAGTGTATGAAAAAGAGGCACTTTGGCTGTTTGTTCCATATTTCAAATTGAAGGCCTTTGTATTAGAAAAATAGCCAGGCAGCAGTTGAAGGGGCTGTGGGTTTATTGGAAGTGGAGGGGATGCCACTGAGTGCAGAGGAGAATGTGATAACAAGGGCCTGTACCCATGGGGCTCCTTAATTGAAAGCTGCTGCATATTGGATTACAGAGGAGCCTGTGCAACACCTACCCAGAGTCAGGACAAGCCTTTCTGATCTCAAACCTCTAGAGTGGGAGGCTTGGTGCAGAGCAGGCTCATGGCTGCTGGCCTAGTTCTGTTGAGTCTATTCAGTATGAGGGTAACTACATTACCTGTTCAGTAGTTACTGCTAGAGGTCTGACCCAAAGGAGAACCACGTGCATGATGTCCAGACTGCCTGATGTCCAGAGGGGAGAACACTTGTTTTTGCCTTGCTATTCTGGGCATGGGGCCAGCACATTAGGTTGGAGAGACGGAGAGCAAAAATGTAGAACTGTCCAAGAACAAGACCTTTGGAGATCTCTGGCTGGTATGAGGAAAGTTATAGTTGAAGATAAGAAAGAGATAAAGACATGGAATAGGAGAGACAGATGCTAACTTACTTAACTTTTTGAGTATATGCCTAGCCTACATTTCTGTCTCCTATTAATTGATTGCAAAAACATGTCTTTAACACATTTAAAGCTCTATATATTGTTACTGAATATCCATATGATGTTCTCACAAAGCATCTGCCCACCAGTAAAAGTTCAAAGGAAGCCGTGGTTAGGTTTTGGTTTCAGTCTTAGGCTTTTAGTGTGAAACTCTCCTCTGGATGCAGTATGTGGGTCCCTTTCATGGAGTTAATCCATTCCCACAAAGCCCTGCTGTATGATGCGGTATGACGTCATCAAAGCAGATGCTGATTGACACAGAGACGATAGTAAAGGTTGGATCTAGCTACATTATCTAAACATACATACAAGTCCTTTATTAAGGTTCTGAACGAAAGAGATGTGATGGCTTTACTAGTATAAGACCTCTTTGTGGGATGTACAACAGGGAAAAAAATAAATTCCTCAGAAGGACACAGAGGAAGCAACATATGATAATGATAGGCTGTGAGCAGGACCAATCTGGTCTAATAGAACAGTCACTGTCTCCCCTATGTTAATGGCCTGGGATTGCTGTGGTTTCCCTCTCTGGAACGTTAGCTCTGTGTCTGGGGAAGCTATGCGCCGGCCACTCCATGCCGCAGAAAAGCCCCATAGTACTATGTGGTCAGCCAGGAGTCTCCAATTAGTCTCCCAGCCAGGCTTCCCACCACCTCAAAGCTGGAGGAAACTGCCTATGCTGGCAATGGGTGAGTGTGTGTGTTCAGATAACACCACATGCCAGACTCGGGCTCCCAGGGCTCCCAGGGCTCCCAGGAACCAGAGAGAGTCCCATCGGCCCCAAGACAATCACTCTATTATTAACCCCTCCACCGTCACCTAGCGCATGAGGCAACAACAGCAGGCCCCATGCCCTCTTCTCCTCCATAGTTATACAAAGACAGCTGACTGACTGGCCTTGTTATTGTCGTGACATAAAAAGAGGACGGTGTTACTATAGACAAATAACTACAGTAGCTTTATGGATGACAGTGCACTTGAGATAAACAGTGTTCCTAATTAGGACAGTCTAATTAGGGCTGTTTTGCTCATTAGCATGTCTGTCAAATCCACAGGTTGGTAATGACTTTATCAAATCATCTCTCTGTTATTCTCCCTATCTAATAGTGTGTGACAGGCAGTGCTTTGTGTGGGTCAGTGTGGCTGTGTGCAGCAGCGTGCTCCAGTGTTTTTGTTCATGTTCAGCACATAATAATTAGTAGGTGAGCAGAGCGGCCCGGCAGGCCTGACTGATGTCTCTCGCCCCAGCCCCTCTCATTTCAGAGTGAGCGTGGCATTCCTTACTTTCTTAGCCACCTCATTAGAGTTAGCTTCCACAGACAGACAGACAGACATACTGGTAGTTGTGAAGAGAGAGGGAGAGACAGAGAGACCCTTCCTCTCTGCTCCAGCTCTGCTGTACCTACAGATCAGTTCTGCCTTCTGCCCTACCACACCACAGCTAGTCATACATACACCAGCAGCTCTGTTATCTCAACTACCACAAACTAATAAAAGTGCACATAATTCTTCAAGGTTTATTACTAGTCCTAACATATTAATTCAACACCTCCCAATCTACAGCACTGGAGCGCTGTGCAAAATGAGGCACCCGTACATGCTCAAATTAGGACGAATTGACAGTGCTGGTTGTATGACAGTCAATATGTCTTGGATCAGAATTCAGTTAACTTTGAAATGGTAATCTGAGTTATTACATTATCGAAGGTGACACAATTCTTTCCTTAATCATGTAATCCTGGTTAGCCCATAACATGACACTGTAGACATAATTAACCTCAGCCCCAGCCTCACCCCCAACCTCAGCTACCTGCTCACTCTGCTCTGAATCTGACGCTTATGGAAAGTACCCATTGTTATGGCTTTCCACGGCACAGAATAGTTCTGATGATAATTTACCCCATTTAGTAGGGTTTCTTTCTTTTACTCTTTCGGTTGTAAAATTGTGTGTTGTGTGTGTTGTTTTGGCCGACATGTCCTCTGATGCTGTCAGGCAGGGGGTTTCAGGAATCGTTTCGATACGTTCCTAAATGCACCCTCAAGGAACTCTTATCCATAGCCCTGGCAGCAGAGACAAAGCAGAGATTCAACAGAACAGCCCTCTTCTTCCATGTCCACATCAGCATGGGGGAACATCATGAGGCAGCAGAAAGTTGTACCCAGTACTTTGTGCAGAATTTTATTCCAAAACACTGTATATATTCATAAGCTTTATCCATTTATGTACAAATGACAGCAAATCTGTAATCTGTAATTTGGCATTTTGTGATGTGAATTTCTGTTATTTTTTTGAATAATCAAACAACCTCAAACAAACAACTTCTACTGGTGTGAACAACATCTCAAAATGAGGTCATAGCTTTTTATGGCACTGCTTACAATCATGAATACCCCATAGATGCTCCTGGTAAAAAGACCAGGCTCGTACTATTGACACTTTTCACTGGCAGCCTATCTTTGTTGTTTGTGTATGTCTTTGGAACATTGACAAGCTGAATGTTTACCAGTAGTTAACAAGCCCTTGCTCTGGAAAGCCCACTACTTCAGTATCTCTGCTTTGTGTTAACCCCTCTCTG